GATATATCTAATAGGACTTCCACTTTTGGACGTCCGGGCTGGAGCGTGAGACAGCGCGGCATCTCCGAAGATCACATGACTTTATAACCCGATTCGGCGTTGGTTGGTCGTGCTTTCACTGGGTACATCACCCATATTGAGCATGCACAAAACTCTGAAAATAACTGGTCAAAGATCAAACTTTTTTCATGATTGTCCATTGCACAGTCAGTGAAACGAATTAGAATAATACTACTTTTGAGTGCGCAAAAATCTGATTGTGACACAGGATATGATCTTTGTTCAGCACTGTTCATTGAACTTTCATTTGTTTTGCAAGGCAACACTATGAACAAAATTGGACCTTTGTCCGGTGATAAGCCTCAGGATCGTCTGACCCCCGAAAACGCGGATTCAGCACATCATACAAGCGCCCCGGAGCTTATTCGACACAGCGCTCGCACGCCTCTAGGCTTCTATGGGCTCTAAAAGACTTTTTCTATTTAGCTCCGGACTTCCCAACATCCTCGAGGCGTACTCGGACCCATTCCGCGATTTATCTCCGCGCACCGAAGCTCCGGAGTGACTTAACCAATGCGACTTCTAGCTGCATTAGCTCCGGGACCCGCGGACACTTCTATCGAGGGGGTCTTCCTCATGCCCACCCTCCAGCACTCACTCCCCCTCATTTCCGTCAAGATACCGAAGGTGCGGACGCATACAAGTCACCATAAGGTCAGCATCAGTCAGCAAACGGCCGGAGGTAATTAACACGTGACCGGCGTGTCGCACGGAGTGATGGGACCGCTTGGGTCAGGTGGCGAAGCGTCGAGGCGACCTATAGGGGCTGGAAAGAGCAAGTGGGAGCGCAAGAGAGTCGTATGGTATATGGTATAGCGGAGGAAAGTGCTGAGCAATCCTGTGGGTAGCGGCGTTTATTTGTTATTTATCTCCGAACGGTCGCAAAGCCATTCCTGTAGTATAAATTGTACAAAGTAGCATACAGAAAAACAAGTTTCGACTTCACCATCTCAGAGAATTAGCGTTACGATCTCAGCGACCCGAGAAGTTCGAAAGCGTCGAACTTAGCGAATTATAACCGATCTTAGCTTTGCCAATAGGCCTGACTCGTCGAGTGAATTAGCTCCGCCATCGATTCAATTAGCTCCGGTGCGTCTCACATAGTGAAATAAAAATTAAACAAGTCCCTTTAGCGTTTTCTACTCCCGTGGGCCCGAACCTACACTCAGTTCCGTGATTTGCGACTTTGTTTGCGACTTTTCAGAGATAAATACTCTGGAGCGTCCATTAGTGTTTGTTTCAGGCATCAAGGTTTTGTTTTATTTTTCTAGGTCTTCCTACGGACTACCCTACGGCGTCTTACTCCTCCTTTCCCCCTCGAACTATTAAATACCCTTCAGTTGTCTCGGACCGCCTTCACCCATATCACGGGGTTTAGGTTTATTCCTTTTGGTCCTTGGTGATTGTTGTGTGTCAGTGCATATCA